AACATACCAGCAAGTCCGTTGGGTAGCAGGTAGGTCCATCCAACCCTGCTCCAAGTCGTTCCTACGAGCTTGGGGGTCCTCGACACGGTATTGGGTGGCTAACACCGTGGGACCAAACATAGGAACTGTTGTTGATATGAAGGAGGTTAATGGACATTGGATGTATTCTGTAAAGCTCAAGGATGGGGTAAGTGGTCTGATCGCCCCCGTACGGTCAGCTCGACCTGACCTCTCAACTCCCCGACAGAGCATCATGCCCAACGTATCCGAACGTTACAAGTGTAGTATGTCAAATTTAGTATAACCTTAAACTCCCACTGATTTCTGTATGACAGTTATGCATAAAACTCCTGACAACTATCATGCACTCGTGTGCTCAGGTTTCACTAATCTCGACCCATGAATCATTAGCGCCAACCCTGTTATGCTTTCACGCCCCCCAAAATGTCGTTCTTACCTCATACATATACACATTGTATACTTTTTATTTTATACTGAACACCTTTTCTTGTATCATCCGCTTTTTACAATGCTATACTTTTTTCAATGCCAACCATGTCGGAGAATGGCGGATGCTTTTTTCAGCGCGTCGATCAAATGAAATTAAATGCCGATGTCATTGATCAACTGGCGCTATATCATCACCTCCCAGTATTTCTGGTGGAGCTAAAGGGGTAATATTGAACCCAATGAGCGTACACAGTGGGTTAAAATAAAGAAACAAAAATAACGAAACCTCTTCCGAACAGGGTCGAACTGTTGACCTTCTGATGTTACTGCTTACGTTTTCCAGCTGGTGCTGACGTAATTAACAGTCAGACGCGCCACCGATTGCGCCACGGAAGACTATCCCATTGACAGTATTTATACATTCTGAAACTCGGATACAAACATCGCAAGGTCGTTTCCCTGATCTGCCGTTACAACCTTCTGCTTGCCGCCACAGTCGCCCCCCATGGCCTTGAATGTCAATGTGCTTCGTCGCTCCCTCTTATCCAATCCACGCCCACTACGCCCATGTCCGATAACCCACCCCAGGGTTGCATATTCTATAGCACCCCCTTTTAGAATAGCCTCGTTATCCACAAAGCCGCCATCCCACCCACCCGGCCGAACGAATGCAACACTCATATTGGCATTCACACGAGGATTGAGGAGTGCACTTGACAGAAGTCCCATCCGACGCATTGTTCGCCCGTCCCGATCTCCCTTTGGTGGAAACGATGGCAATGGCTTTCTGGAGCAATGGAAGAGACGCATCGACCGCACGAATCCCGACTACATATTCTATGCTATACTTGGTGTGAATGGATTAGTGTTCCTAATGTGGGGGTGGGCGCAAGAAAATTTTGTAAGTGCATTCATCTCGTTGGATTACCTCGATGAGTGACGGTGTGCGCAGCAAAAGTTCCGTGACCCAGAACCACTTCGGTTTATGTTTAAACATTTCACTACTTCTTGGAATAATGTTCTAGAAGGCAGAATGTAAGCCAGTACATCAAGATTAGTGACTATGCAGCACTGACGCATTACTAGCTGGACACTCTTAACGGCGTGTTTCTCTCACGAAA